CTTCCAGGATCAAAATTTCATACTAGACCATCTACTATTAGTATTCAACTATTCTCCTCTACATTTTTCCTTTCAAAAGGTACCACTCCATCTGTTTTTATATAATATTTAAATTTACAATGTGACTTAATGAACATCTGCAAATTGAATTTTTCATTCCACCACCAATCTTTATTATCTTAAATACTTATGACTTTGGCCCCAGAGAGCTTCAAAAGATTTAATAGCCCACTTGTGTCCGCACGAATAAATCGGCTTTTATATACATGTTCAGGTAACATAGTAAAAAGTTAGTAATCTGGCACCGTTATTTTTTTCAAAGCATCTTAACATATGATACAAAAAAGGAATCTATTTTCACCGCTCTTTTCCAAGCTCTTTTTTTCTAGAAACACATCCAATTTTTCTTGGGGCTTTTTGATGCAAGTGGCATAACTTCAACTCTGTTGCAAAGGAGATAGGAATAATATGATCTGGAATGGTAGTTGATTACAAGTCTGGATAGATGTTTTACCAACTTTCCAATAGAAATCTTCTTATCGATTTTAAATTTAAACCATTGGCTAAGCCTTTTCTCAAATTATATATGGTTTTGACAGTTTTCTAAAAGCATGGCAGCCAAATTATTCATAATACAGGTGGAATTATAACCTGACTTCCATTGTATATCTGTTGGACGAAATGGTAACTATCTTCCCACACCGTAAATAACAAAATTATTTTTTATCAGGATCATTAGAGAAGATTCAACTTTTAAAACCCCATGTATTTTCTGCATAATATTCGTGCATATATAAATTCGTAAATTATTGGCAAAAAATTTGTTATACTGTATCTACAGTATGTATAAAATACGTGTAATTGGTTTTTACACATATCAACCGTATATCATAAGTACCTTCAGAAAAGATATATGTGCATTTCATATTCATATTTATTTACTGCTTATTTGTTTAGTGTAATTAAAATGTTTATTAATTACCATTAATAGCATATTAGAATTCATAACTCAATTTTATGGAAACAAGTCATAAATTTTTTATTATTATGAATAATATAATTAAATTTATATAGGAATTTGTTCTTGGGTCATACAGTTAATAATACAGTTCATTCTCTCTATAACGAACCATTTGGATTAAGAAAAAATGTCCGTTATATATGGGATATACAAATTGTATTATTAATTCTCAGTCTGTTATAGAGAATGTGAACTGTACAATTAAGGGCAATAGTATAAAGAGAAATTTTGAAGAGTTGTAATTAAATTTACTTGCTATTGAAATTTCGAGCAATAGAGATTGGCATTTTGAAATTTTGTTTTTTTAAATAGAATTTTTGATAACTCAAACCAGGTAGAAATCGATATTCTCTTTTTGCATTTACATGTTATTAATTAACCCTTTTTTTTTTATAATCCTTATATACAAGTACACTATCACAAATGATGAGGAAATTGTAAATCTGACATCATTATTTCAAGAGATAAAGACAATAACCCTGTCATTAAGACAAAAGAAAGAGCTTTCATACTTTAGTTATTGTATACACTACATTCTGTAAGTTTAGGATTTTTTTTTTAAAGCAATAACAAATGATGAATTTTATTGTAGCTTATGAGAACTATATTTCTAGTTCTTTGTCACCTGTTTTTTAATACTGGATCATCTGATGAGTATGTATCCAAATATCAGTGTGACAAACTGGGGACTGATTTTGGATGGCCATATGTATCTGATATAGATTTTCGATTGATACAAGATATGGTCAACAAGGCAGTCAAAATAAGCATTGGTTTCCTTCATATCGAATATTTCATTATGCTATCTATTATAATATTATTTATGTATTCTAGGCTTATGAAGAATATGATAGAAGAACAACGATTAATGTTGTGTTGTTGATGAAAATTTATATCCCAGAGCTTTTGGTAAAAACAAGGATAATATTGTTGGAGATACAAGAATATTACTTGAACTAATTAGAACGTAGTAAGTAAGGTTTTTGTCATTGGATTGGCTTATCCTTTTTATAAGAATTAGTAACACTTGATTCAAAAGCCTCCAGAATTTGCCATTAGAGATGGAGTAAAATCTCGGAACCAGACTACTGGATTTCTCATTTAGCATCTATTTTGAACATATATGTTGTTGATGATGATGCCTAAAAATGGCTCCTCAATTAGTTGCAACTAATTGTGGCATATGAAAATTGAATTGCGGCTAATTGCAGTTCCATCTTTAATAACACCTATGTTATATGGTACTTGACATTCATAATTCTGTCATTATACTTTTTAGTCTTAGTATTGATAAATAATTATTTGACACTCTAGGAACACACCCTTCGGCCAAAAGAAAGAAAAAACTTGATAGCTCATTGATTGTTCATACACTGGGTGCAGTTTTTAAATGCTTCAACACAGCAATAGGGTTTGGAAGACAGAGCAAAGAATCTTCTATGATCTTTTTAGGTTGACGCAAATTTTAAAAGATGATCTTGACACAATTATTAATACCACAAATGTAGATAATCCAAAAGTCTTTGGAATGTATGTGCATGGTATATTTGGCTATCTATATTAATCTCTAATTTGATTTATTAGTATATTCACTTTTCCATATTCACTTTTCCATATTCTATTTTAGGAGGTAATGTGATACTCTAAATTGGATCATGAAGGTATTTACGAATTTAGAGAATGTTGCAAAATTCCCATCCCTATGGTTATAATTTGTGTAAAATGATATACTCTATGAACAAGTATATTTCATTCTTGGTATGTATTGGAGATGTTACCTTGGGACATTTTTAGCATGTATTTCAGAATCTTGGACATTTATCAGATATTTTATACTAATAATATTCTTGTATAGAGGATGCAACGCATTATGTTCAAAAACTTTCAAAATGATTCACCAGGTCAAGTCTTCTAAATCTGGTTAACAATCACTTCTCCAATGAAGATCCCTATCAAAAAAATTCATAATTTCAGGTAATAACACATGCATGTGTTGTGAGTGAAAATCAAATTTGTGTGAATCTCAAATTCACATTGGTAATTATGAATTTGCTAAATAGTATTTTTTTTATTTTGAATATTTCTCCGAAAGATACATGATCTTCTTTTCTTCATGATTTTAAACTTTAAAAATAAATCAATATTGCAGTATTCTAATAATAAGATTATTTTCCTTTTAAGAATTTTTGCTTTTTGTTAGACAATAGCACACTTCCATCCTGCTTTCTTTTCCTAATGTTTATTATTTTTCTTTGCTCTTGGTAAATTTCATAGGTAATATTTTCTTCCCTTAGATAAGCTTCTAGTGTCTGAGTATCATTTATTTGAAAGTGTAGGGAGCAATTTTTTTTCACTTTGTTCCTTTTTTAAAATGCTTCTGATACTACTATAATTCTTGGGTTCCCATGGTAGAAATACAATTGTGATGTTAAACAAACCACTATTGATCCCTGAAATTCTTGGTAATACCAATGTTCACTTTGTTGCAAGCATGCTTTCTATGCATTCTTTGATTAGAAAATTTTATATATAATAAGGAATTTAAAAAGTGCGTGCAGATTAAGGCTTGCATATATACATATTCGTAGCCTATTAACGTACGGCAATGTGTTATTTTTATATCTATAACAATCAATCGATCAATTATTAGACTTTGGTATGTTTGGTATAAAAAAAGATAAATACATCAAACGCTAGTTAGTTACATTGATGAAAATACCAATCGATTCAATTTTAGGCAATTACGCATACCTTCCACCATTAACATTGTTATTATTAACATTATCATTTCTGTTGCATAAGATGATGAACTATAATCGTTGTTTAGTATGCTTGTTTTTAGATGTGTTTTATGATTGTCTTAAATTTATTTTTAATTTTATAGTTCATTTGTGAGACAAGGTGTTTCTTGAAAAAAAATCAAATTATGTATATAATTTATTTTTTTGATATTACAATACCAATAATTCTTTATAGCAATTTAAAATCCTAAATCCTTAAATAGCAAGGGTTTAGACTGAATCAAACTATCATTTAATTCTAATATGTAATATATTGGACTCGCATTTTTCTTTTAGAATAATGTGATTCAAAAGTAAATTAAATAGGAAGATGCGAAATTCCTTTCGATAGGTTTTATTTTCATTCTGTACCAAAAGTTTCTTATAAATAAATAAAATTCTTGATTAATTAAACAAAGTGATAAAATTTAATATATAGGTTTATACGTACGTATATGAAGAGTAATAATAATTCTAATAATTCCAACAAGTGTAGAGTTGGTTGTGATTGTGGTTGCTCAACTAAAATTCCAAAGTTTGCAGAGTTGAACTAGCAGACGCTTCAAAAAGAAAAAAACTCATGTCAATAAGTGAACTTTTATTTTCCGAAATCACAATATGCCTCAATATGCTGGAATCATTTCGTGATCTTATACCCAAGCCCATGGCAATATTAAAGAATGCCTGTATGAAAAACACAAAAATGATAATTAACAAAATTGTTGCTGAAACTGTGAAAATTTTTCTTGAAAATTATGCAAGTCCAAAGTCCAGGAAGGAACATCGACAGAATAATAACCCAATTACTTATATACAAATGAGTTATAAATCTGTTCATTGAGATTTTCTTGCAGGTCTTGAAGAGGAAGTATAGAAACCTAAAATCCTTAAAGTATGATGATGCTGCCATTCGCAAATTATGACATCCATTAACTCCCCAGATTCAAATTATGAGTTCAAGAGCAGATTATGTGATGCTTTTCACAAGAGCAATTTTCTCATCTCGAGAATACTGAGAATTGTGCGAATTTGATGAAAATGAGGCATGTAGTTATTTTTATTATTAAAGTAGGAAAAAAGACATTATAAAAACTGTTAATATTGTTTTTCAAATTAAGATTATTATAACCCATTATAGTCATTATCGCCATTAATAGAAACGGATTAGTTCATCAATTCAAAAAAAAGACTGAAAAAGAATGAATTTAATTTCAACCGAAGAAGTTGCAAAACATAATAAACGTGAAGATTGTTGGGTAATCATACATAGCAAAGTTTATGATTTAACAAATTTTTTGCCCGATCACCCTGGTGGTATTAAAGTTATTCTTGATCAAGCTGGTAAAGATGCAACCGAAGTATTTGAGCCAATCCATCCTCCTGATATAATTGATCAATATCTAAAACCTGAATCATATGTTGGAATCATTGATCCATCAAATCTTGAAAAAACCTTCAGTCAAAACTCAGAAATGGATAAGAGGCGTGAATTGGCAATTCAAAATAAACCTCATCTAAGTGAAATGTTGAACCTATTTGACTTTGAGGCTGTTGCTCAACAAGTTTTGAAACCTGAGTCATGGATTTATTTCAGTTCAGGTGCCAATGATGAAATTAGCTTGCGAGAAAACCATAATGCGTTTCATCGCATCTGGATAAAACCAAGGGTGATGAGAAATGTAATGAATATTGACACCAGTACAACTTTACTTGGTCACCATTCCTCATTTCCTGTTTATATTACAGCAGCTGCATTAGGTAAATTGGCTCATCCTGAGGGCGAAGTTATTTTGACCAGAGCTGCTTATCAACATCAGATAATTCAAATGTTGGCAACACTAGCATCATGTTCCCTGGATGAAATGACAAATGCAACAGGCAAAGATCAAGTGCAATTTTATCAATTGTACATTAACAAAAATAGAACTATTTCTAGAAACATTATTAAAAAAGTAGAAGAAAAAGGTTGTAAAGCTTTATTTATAAATGTTGATACACCTCAGTTAGGCTACAGGGAGAAAAGTATGAGAGCAATATATATGGATCCAAATATTGATGAAAAAACTTTGAACAGTAAATATGGATCGGCGAAAGCAATTTCATTATTTATTGATGCATCATTAAATTGGAATGATATAGAATGGCTTAAATCAATCACTACCATGCCGATTGTACTCAAGGGTATACAAACAGCTGAAGATGCTGTACTAGCGGCCAAATATGGTTGTGCTGGCATGGTGTTATCAAATCATGGTGGTAGACAACTTGATTTTGCCAGGTCAGCTATAGAAATTTTACCTGAAGTGGTTCTGGCACTCAAAAAAGAAAATTTATTGGATAAAATTGAAATTTATATTGATGGTGGTATTAGACGTGGAACTGATATTTTCAAAGCGATTGCACTGGGTGCAAAAGCTGTTGGTATTGGTAGACCTATGTTGTATGCCATGTCATCCTATGGTCAAGAAGGCGTTGAAAAAACATTAAAATTGTTAAAAGAAGAATTTGAAATGGTTATGCGTTTGGCTGGAGTAACATCCTTGAAAGAAATTGGTCCTGACTTTGTTGACTCCAAGAATTTAAACAATCATATTTCTGTTCCAAAAAGTTATCTTTTCTCCAATGTTTATGAAAAACCTTTCCCAAGAAGAAGCAAATTATAATAGTAGTAGTAATGGTAGTGGTAGTAGTAGATGATATTCTTTTACAAAAGTTGTAATGTTCGTTGTAATATTTATTTGTGTAATTATAAAATTATAAATATAAATATATATATGTATATACATACAAATATGTAGAATATAATCGCTAGAATTGAATGAAACTGGACTATATATCATTCATTTTTATCTATGAATTATTAATAAATATTATTTATACCATTATAACTTGGACAACATTGGATCACTGTTATTATTATTATATTTTGGTCGATCCTCATAAAATTTTTTAATTTCTAAAGATCTTCTCAATTCCAATTTACCAATTTGTTGAATATGTACTTCATCTGGCCCATCAGCAATTCTCAAAGTTCGTCCTATTGCGTACATGTATGCAAGCGGAAAATCTACACTTAAACCTGCTGCTCCGTGAGCTTGAATTGATAAATCAAGAACTTTGAGTAATACACTTGGTGCTACCACCTATATTTAATGATTTGTATATTTAAATTTTTATTTATATTATAAATTTGTAAGTCACGACCATCATTATTTTTCTTACCTTTGCCATGCCAATCTCTTTTCTTGCATTTTTTGGTCCTTTCTTATCAATAGCATTTGCAGCATTTAAAACCATAAATCTTGCTTGATCTATTAACATACGTGCATTTGCTATATCAGAAACGATGGTTCCATGTTCTGCTAATAATTTACCAAATGTACGTCGTGATGGATCTGTTACTCGTAATAACATCAATTCAAGTCCTCGTTCTGCCATTCCTATAGACCTCATACTTTTAATTTTGTTTTTATTTGGGGGAAGAAAAAGAATAAATATTGTTAAATTGATTGTTATTTCAATCAAGCATTTTATTATAATTATTCATGTAAACATATTTTTCATATTTACCAATGATGGATCCTACCAGGTCCTAATCTACCTTGAATAATTTCAAATCCTCTGCCTTCTCCCAACATGATATTTTCAACCGGGACCCTAACATCAGTAAAAACAATTTCACAGTGTCCTTCTGGTGCATCATCATATCCAAACACAGTCATTGGTCGAATAATTTTAATACCAGGTGTATTGGCTGGCACAATAACCAAACTATGTTGTTGATGTCTATTATTCTTTGTATCACTTGAACTAAAGTCAGATTTTCCCATTACCAAGTATACAGCACATCTTGGATCTCCTGCTCCGGAAATCCACCATTTATGACCATTAATCACATACTCATTGCCAACTCGTTTAATGGATGTTTGGATATTTGTGGCATCTGATGATGCCGTTGCTTTCTCGGTCATTGCAAACGCTGACCTAATCTCACCATTTAATAAAGGCTTTAACCATTTCTCTTTTTGATTTGGCGTTCCATACTTTGCAAATACTTCCATGTTACCTGTATCTGGTGGTGAACAATTTGTAGCCTATATTTCAATTCGTTGAAAAAGTTTTTTTTTAAAAAAAAAATATCATATTAATAACATTTATTAACCATATTTTTATTATTTACTTCTGGTGCAATGCGTATAGATTTTCCCATGATTTCTGCCATAATTGCATACTCGAGAGTTGTTAAACCTCTATTTCCATTTTGATGTTGACGATAATCTTTGGAAAGGAATAGATTCCACAGTCCTAATGATTTTGCTTTCTGTTTAAGCTCTTCCATCACAGGTACCACCTTTATATTAAATATTTAATCAATTAATCAATAAATCAAACAAACAAACAACCAATCTATTATATCTATTTCTCTTCTTTCCCTCTTTCTATATTTATTATTTATTTAAAATAAACTATTTATTTACCTTCCATCGATTATTATCTTCATTCAATTGATTAAAAAAAACTGTTTCGGCTGGAACACACACATTCTAATAAACAATTCATCATAATCATCATCAAAATATTATCATTACCATCATGATCAATTATTAGTTAACTAACTCACCTCAACAAAATTATCTAAAATTTCAATTAGTTTTTTCGCATCTAAAGATATTTTATCCTCAACAATTGTTGGTATTTTGTAAACCATAATTTTTATTTTTTTTGAGTTGTAATGGTAAATTAGAATTAAAAATAAAAAAAATTTGATTGTGCATTGAATGACATTGAATGACGGTTGTCACATGATCTGGCTCAATGAAAATAATGGGATATTTCAGCATTGTATTTTATATATTTAATATAGATATGTAAAATGATCTTTACTTTTTCATATAATTGTTCCTTAATATTAAAACAAGAGTTATCTATCTAAACATCCTGCAAGTAATAGAACATGGGTAAGCCCCTGACATAGATATTGGTACCGATTAAATTTGTTTGATCATCACACTAAAAAATAAATAATAATAAATAGTTTACTTTTGGATTCCACGTAAAATACATATGAATTTGTTTTGAAAAAAATAATATAATTGCAACATTACAAAAAAACAATGTAGCTAGTTTTAATGGTAATTCTCGATTATTTTTATTAAAAATATAATAATAATTAATGAATTTTATTCAAAAAAAAACCTTATTATTGTAATCCAACTTTGTATAGATTCTATTTTTGGAATTAATTCCTGACTGCCATTTTCAATAATTGTATCGATCACTTTTGTTAATATTATCTGCATAAAAAAGTCCTTGTAATGGTAATTTTTTTTTAGAAAATTTTGTTTCTGCCTTTCTCATTTTCGAATTTTTGATTATAATTAATAAAATACTTGGAAAATTTCTAAAGGCAATTTAATTGCCCATATTTTTAGTAGTTGACAAAGTCCAAGGTAAATTTGGAGTTTAAGTAAATTGTTTTCAAACCATATTTCTACTACTACTACAAACTTATCTTTTTTACGAGTATAACTAAAAGTAGATAGATGTGTAACCATAATTCATTGTTTCTATTTGAATTGAATGGATATGGTCTAAGTTCAATATTTAATAACAATAACTTCATCCAATTTAAATCCTCACATTGGCAACAATATCCTGGACAAAATTCATGATCTTTGTAACCTTTTTACAATACACAATATATACTTTTACTATTTAGGAAAAATAATGTTTTCTGGTACAAATTGGATGATAAAAAACAAATGTCACTTTTATTCACTTTTTGGATGAATTCTATAATGTAAATCAAAGTCTATATAGTGCCAGTAGATAATAATTGGATTGAAATGATTATTATTAAAAAATAATTTATAATCTGCATATTAATATTAATATTCATATCATTAAATTTCGACAGACCACGAATTAAATGTGAATAATTGAATAATTATAATAGATATTAAGCACTTCTTTCGGAAGAATCACTAAACTTGCCTCCACGATCTTTCTTTGTATTCGTTGTTCGATTTCATTGTAAATAAATTAACTGGTGGTGTTAATGTAACATTGGTTTGTGGCATTGGTAGCTACTGGTAGTGGTCGTTCCTCTTTTGTATAACCTTTATAATCATTATACATAATATGTTAATAAAATAAAATCAATTCCCGAGAATACTTTTACCAGTATATATTTTTTATTTTTATTTCAAGTGAATAGCCGAATTTTTAGGCTAAAAGCCTTTTAATGTATAATAGTAGATCATCAAAACAATGCAAGTTCGGGTATACTGCGCCATTGGAGTCATTGGAAATTAATCGATTGTGAACATTTTAGGAATAAAAAAAAAATAAAAAAAATAAAAAAATAAAAAAATAATAATAATAATAATAATAATAATAATAATAATAATAATAATAATAAGTAATAAATGTTAGAGGAATCAACACCAATATTAATATTAATATAGTGCATATATTTGCGTATATATGTGAACTATTTTTATAATTAAACAATTTGATTTGGAACTTTAACCTTGTCTAAAAGTCCAATTAAGAGAGTAACAAGCAATGAATAATAAATGATCGATAATTGACGACGAATTAATTGTTTTAATCCAGAATGTAAGTGTAGGTAGGACGTTTGTTGGATATTTATGACACAAATATTGGTTTTCTTCTCTATTATTGGAATGTTCGGTCCTTTGAAATCAATAATAAATAATATTTTGCAGTGACCCTTGGAGACTCGACTCTTTTTTCTATAAATATAATTATTAATTAATCAATCAACAAAAACAGATGTAAATATTTATTTTAATAAATGTGGTGTGCAATGTAAATCGTTCAGAACGAGTAATTTTCGCTAATTGCAATTATTTATTTGTACATGTAAGGATCACAAATGCGCGAAATTAATTAAGTTTTCCACAGAAAGTTTTCTAGAAATGTGAATTTTTTAGTATATAAACAATTATGAATTCCAAAGACATTTTTTTCAACAAAAACAATAATATTCAGTTTTCATTCCCTCCTCCCCTTCTTCTCACTCTCTCCCTATATATATTTTTTTACATTCATTAACACTAATCCAACATTCTCCTTTCCCTTCATAACAATTCATTTCCTTTCTTATCTTTTTCTTTAATAATAATATAAAAATATAAAAATTTATATAAATAGATAAAATGGTATTAAAAAACATTTTCTTAACTTCAACATTTTTAGTTGCAAATTTATTTTTCGCTAATGCTCAATTGACTGGTCAATGGCCACCAGTTGACGTTCCTCCACCATTCCAAGACGAATGGAAAAGTTTGGTTGACTTTACTAAACTTCCAGCTGCACCAGTCTCCAAACAAGTTGGTGATTGTCCTAAAGATGGTACTGATCCTTTCTGCTCATGGACTTGTACCAGATGTGTCAAACCAGATGATGTTAGCTTTTGCCCTAAACCCAAAGGTAATTAATTGTTTGTTTCATTCGATTAATTGATTAATTACGTATGTGTGTGTGTGTTAATTGTAGTTTTTAAATATCTATTGTAATTCACAGATTGGGGACTCACTTTCGATGACGGGCCTACGTGAGTAAAGAAAAATGATTTTATAAATTCATGATTTTTTTTTAGAAAAATTAATTTTATTAATTATTTATATTTTCCCTTTTTATTGTTATTAGTGAACAAACTGCGAAATTACTTGATTTCTTGGACACAACACCCAACACAAAAGTAACTTTCTTTGCTGTCGGTTCTCGTGTTATAGCACATCCCGAGTTATTGAAAAGAGCTATCACCTCTAGTACGTTGTTGATTTTTTAATTTATTTTTTTTAATCTTGTTCTTTTTACGCAAATTAATAATAATTATTATTATAATAAATTATTAGATCATCAAGTAGGAGTTCACACTTGGTCACACACACCTTTAACAACTCAAACCAATGAACAAATTGTTGCCGAAATCAAATGGACCGAACGAGCAATTCAAGCAGCTGGCGGTGTCACACCAAATATCCTTCGTCCACCACAAGGTGACTATGATGATCGTGTGAGAGCAATTGCTACAGCTTTAGGCTATAGAATTGTTTTATGGGATTTGGATTCATTCGACTGGAAAATAAAGAGCGAACCAGCAAATAGAACTTCCAAAAGTGTTTTAGATGATTTCAATTTATGGGTTAACAATGCTACTGCAACAACTGGTCATATCTCCTTAGAACATGATCTTTACGAAGAAACCGTCAGTTTGGTTCCTGACATTGTAAAGATTGTCACTGGCAAAGGATTTAATACCACAACTGTTGGAGGTTGTTTAGCTTTACCATTGCATAATGCTTTAGCTACTCCAGCTGCTGCTCCAGCTGCTGCCCCCTCATCTGCTGCCGCACCAGCCCCCTCACCTGCTGCTGCACCAGCCCCCGCTGCCTCACCCAAAACCACGACAAAAGCACCAAAAAAACGTACAATAAAACGTTTCATTAAATAGATAGAACATAGAGAAATTTTAATATAATATAATAAAATAATAATTTATTAATGTAATTTAATTATTAAAAATCAAAAATAAAATTTTGTGATTTTCACAAATTGGGTTTTATCAAAAATTTTGTCCGTCTATTATTTTTTTCAAATGTCGTCAAATATTGTTAAATCTGCCTTAAAGAATGCTATTCAAGCAATAAATGCTAAAAATTATGAAGAAGCTATAAAAAATTGTGAAAAAGTTTTACAGTATGAGCCTGATAATTATAAAGCGTAAGCATGACTTTTTTTAAAAAAAATAATGCAACAATTCAATTTTTTTTTCGAAAAATAACACGAAATGCTCTTTATGATAGATATATTTATCTTGGTGCCTCGTATACAGAATTAAATAAATTAAATGAATGTGAAAATGCTTTAAAGCGTGCTATTGAAATAGATAGTTCTCAAATTGTTGCCTGGAAGGTATAATGTAGCTAGCTAGCTTATTGATTGTTTAGTTATTCCCTTCAATTCATCTTTGACTACTACTATTATTCTTTTCAGGGACTTAAAAAATTATACGAGGAACAAAAAAATTGGACAAATCTATCAAATACATATTTAGAATTACTTGGTCGTTATAATGAAAGGTCAGATGAAAAGTTTTCTGTCTGATTTATTTTTCTGCTAATAAATATTTACATATATATTTACTTTTGCTATTTAAATATTCATTAGTAAAGATGCACAAAATACATTGGATACGATTAATAAACTTGTTGAATTATACACACATAAAATCAAAGATAATAAGAATGTATGTAAAAAAACCCCATACTTATTCTAATTAATAATATTAATATGTAATAATAATAATAGTAATAAAATAATGTTTCATAATTTATTAGCTTATAGTAACCTTGAAATATTTTTTACCAGAAAGTCCATATTATGATTTAATAAAAGTACTTCCGGGTGTCGTTACAAAATCTCGACAATCTCTACAAACAATAGTCAGTTTATTGGAAAAAGATGAACCAGAAATAATTCAACGTGAAATTAAATCGCGTAAAAGCCGGATTAACTCTGGTCCTCCAGAATTAGTTCAAGCTCAAGTTGAACAAGAAGTTTATGAAATTTCTGAGGTATTTATTTATTTATTTATTTATTATAGATTAAAAAATTTAAAAATTTATTAAAAAAAAAAAATCATTTTATCATCATCATCATCATTTGAAATTGTGACAGTTAGAAGAATTTTATGATAAATTATTTGAAATTGTTAAAAAATCTGATAATTCTGATCTAGATAGTGAGAATCTTAAAAAAAATTATATTGAGCATATTAGAAAGAAACTTTCAGTATCTTCTGTTGATAATAAAAATAGGGTATGTTTATAATTAGTTATATATATTTTATACGTTTCAGCTATTAAATGATTAAATATGTGTATCCATAGTTATGTGAAAAACTTTTGAAAATAGCCAAATCTTTTGTTGACCAAGACTCTCCTTCTCCTATACCATATGAAATCCTGATAGAAAGTACTAATGCGAGTTCTGCAGGTTCAAGAAAAATTTATTTTTTATTTTTAATTCTTTCTTTTAAATAAAAAAATTTTTTTTTAAATTAGAAAAATGTTTTCCCCAAAATAATATAGATGAATATGATGTTTCATTACTTGAAAATTATTCAAAAAAATTTCCTGAAACTGGTTTATCAAAAATGATTCAAGGATATTTTCGATATTCAAAAGATGATGAAACAGAAGAAGCATTGAATCTTTATCAGGTTTATTATCATTATCATTATCATTATCATTATTATTATTATTATTATTACTACTACTATTATTATACCCTTATGAAAAAATAAATCATTTTATTACAAATGTATAATTTATTTATTTTATATTTCTTTCAAAACAAATTAATTTTTTTTTAATTTATATATAGGATGGGTTGGTAATTACTTCAAATAGTCTCTTCGGTCATCTTTCTTTATGTTGGATATATCATGATTTAAAGGATTATGAAAATTCTTTAAAATATGCAGAGACTGGTAAAAAATTAACTCAAAATAATATCAAGAGTATGAGCTTTTCACTTGATAGGTAATCAATCAATCAATCAATCAAGTTTTGTTTTTAAAAATATATTAATATGTGATAAAAGTTTTTAAGTTAAACTTATTTTGATATAGTTTGATAAGTTCGTTTGAGTTGTGTATAGCATCTTGCTATCTTAATATCGGTTCACAATTTTATTCAGATGCCTTACCATTATATAAAAAAGTTTTAAAGAAAGATCCAAATAATATTTTGGCACTCCAGGTAATTCCTTATTAATTTTAATTAATAATATTTTTTTTTCAAAATAGTATAATAATTAATTTTTATATATATAGGGAGTCGGAATAATACTTTCTGCACAAAAAGGTTATGAAAAATCACTTGAAGTATTTAAAAAGATTTTAAAGCTGGATCCATCACATCACATATCCAAGAGTGAAATTGGTTGGATTCATTTATTACAAGAAAATTACGAGGAAGCTTTAAAATTTATTCTTGAAGCAATTGATTTGTCTAATGATAATGCTCTTTATTACTGCCGTTTAGGCAGAATATATTGGGCTATGGATGGTATGATTACATATAAATAATAAGTTCTGCTTAAAAAGACACATTTATGTTTTTACATTTAGTTTTTTACTCAATCAACTTGTTTATTTATAGGTGAATATCGCAAAAATAAAAATTATGCATACGCACAATTCATTCATTCGCTTAAACTCGATTCAGATTTTGCTTGCGCATTCACTTATCTTGGACATTACTATAGACTTATTGAGGAGGATCATGTACGTGCAAAAAAATGTTATCAAAAAGCTTACACCATTGACTCAAAAGAAGAGGATGCTGGATTTTATTTAAGTGAATATTATCATTCTGATGGTGAATTTGATTTGGCTGAAGGTGTGTATCAAATTGCAACTCAAACAAATCCTAAGGCACACTGGGCTTGGAAAAGATTAGGATTTTTGGATTTGGTAATATTGTATATTCATCTTCAAATATATATATATATATATATAAACAACCTATTTATATTCATTAATTCATTAATTCATTGTTTGTTGATGGATCTTTTAAGGCTCATGGAAATTATGGAAATGCGGTTTCAAGTTTTCAAACTGCTTTAAAAACCGACTCAAAAGATATCAGTTGTTGGGAGGGTTTGGCAGAAGCATATGGACGTGAGGGTAAATATAGATCATCATTAAAAACCTTTCCAATAGTCATAGAATTAGATCCTGATTCGGTGAATGTATATTATCAAATGGGTCTTGTCAATGAAAAGTTGGGAATTCATGAAGAAGCAATAGAACTATTTAATACAGCGATCAAAAAAGCTCAAGACAAAGGAGATCAAAATCATATTCCATCTTTAAAGGGGCTTGGTGATTGTTATTTAGCTTCGGTAAAGGAATTTTTTCAAAAAGGAATTTATGACCGTTCTGCTGAATCGCTTGATAAAGGGTTAAAAATCATGTTACATGCCATTGAAACAACCACTAAAATTCAATGTTTTTGGAAATTGATTGGTGATTTATCTGTATCAGCATCTTTAATACCACCAAATTATCTAAATTTGATATCTCTTGAAACCATAAAGAGTATCGTTAATATCGCAAAGCAATCGAATTTAGATGATAAATTACATATTCCTAAAGATTTGGATACTATAGGAAATAATCTTATTGAGAATTATAATAATATTGAGGAATTTACAAGTTCAGAATTGCTTACAATGCTTTTATATTGTGGATCCACTGCATATAAATATGCTATCATTCTAAGTGGCAACCAATCCAATAGCTTTCCATCATTATGGTATGATTTAGGAATTTCTTATTACAAGACATATGAAAATCTTTTAGAGAAAGATGTTAATGATGATAATGACGATGATGATGATGATGACGATGATGATGATGATGATAGCAGTGATGATGACGACGATGACGACGACGATGATGATGGTAATGATGATGTTAATAATGTTAACAATAGTTGTATAAAATATATTAATATGGCAATCCGGTGCATTAAAGTTAGTTTGAAACTTGAGCCAACAAAATATGAATATTGGAATGCATTAGGAATAATAACTATGTTGATTGATGCAAAAATTAGTCAACATTGCTTTATAAAAGCAATCGAATTTAACGTTATATCACAGGTATTTGTTTAATATTATTATTATCACTATTATTATTATTATTATTAAAAATGGGAGTTTTTTAAAAAAAAAAAAAAACAGGATCCTGCACCTTGGACAAATATTGGTATTTTGTATCTTTTACATTCTGATCTTGAATTGGCAAATCAAGCATTTTCAAAAGCTCAAACACTAGATCCAGATTACGTTCCAGCTTGGATTGGACAAGCTTACACTCACTCACCAAAATATAAATGACCAATTTAATTAATTAAAGTTTTGGTTTATATTTTTTAATTAAATAAAATGAATAACAAACTTTATTATTTTAAATATAAAAAAAAAAAAACTTATTATTATTATTCAATACAATTATTTTTTGTAATACACTTTGTTAAAAAATTTCTAACAATCTTATTGTCTAATTGATGATAATAAGGAATTGTTTTAATTGATTTCGGATCTAAATCAATTACATGAACTTTAAAATCATAGTAACACTCTTGATGTTGTTGTTGATTGTTTTTATAAGTATTTCCAAAAGCGCTTTCATCGGAAGAAATCCTATTACCATTATCATTATTATCTACTAAGATGGAAACTTTTTTAATCCTTTCTTGTAAAATCGATCTAACAATAATTATAATTTATAAAATTACTATATATATATATAAAACAATCAATCAATACTGGTAATAATAATAATAATAATACCCAAAAACACTATCTTCAACAACAAAATCACCACCATCATCATCATTACTAGATTTTCTGAATGTAAAGATAATAGAACAATCTTTAAATGTGGTTGATATTAAAAATTCATAAATCCTTTGACGTACTTCTTCAACGGTAAAATCAACGATTGAACTCGGCACGCTTACTACATGTCATAAATATATATGCAAATTATAAATTATTTTTGTATTAATCCATGTAGGGAAAAATTACACATACATTCTTACATTCTGTTTTTTTTGATCGATTTACATATACTCGTACAATGTCATTCCATTCTTCTAAAGTTGGTTCCAAATTTGTTTGATGTTTTAAATAAAATTGATATAAACCTTCAATATCAAATTCGTCCAATGATTTCTGTAAAAGTTTTATACGTTCAAACAAAACTCGCTCTTTGCTAATTGCATTTGATAATAATTCAATAAACAAATCCTTGACTTTTTGTTCATCATCCCTATTTTTTTTATATATATATAAATAATGATATACATACTGTTATATTTTCATTGCTTACATTGCTTAAAAAAAAAAAATTAATCATAATAAATCTTACTTATTATTATTTGTTGATGAGTTAATGTTAAAAAATCTCTTCAAATGTTCCTGTGATCCATTCTAATAAAACAAATAATAAAATTTGTCAAAAAAAAAACCAAATTGCAATTATTTCTTTTATTTTTTTTTCTTTGACATACATTTTCAATCGGTACATTCACTCCTTCTATAAATAATTTTAAATTATTCTTTGGACATATTAATAATTCTGATATTGCTTTCCTTAATCTTTTTTCATCCAAAGAAAATAAATCTAGTGGACAATATCCACTTAAATCACCACCACTACTGTTTCTACTCCCGCCAGCTTCTTTTTCTTTTTCAAACCGTTCTAATTGTTCATGAAATTTTAACCATTTGTGCATACAGAATCGACAAGATTGAAACTTTACAGAATTTTCAAATTTGATAAAAGATGAAGTTGGTAAAAAACCCCATTTAGGCTTTTTTATATATATATATATATATAATTTATAAATTTCTTGTTATTATTATCTATTATCATGATCAAATTTTTTTTTTTGTTGAAAAAAATAAACATATATACCTTTAATTCAACCGACAAAATAGGAGTAATAGTTTTAGATATAAAAGTTGTAACATCCAAAGTTAATATCACATATCGTTGATTTAAGTCAATGTCTTTATGAGTTCGTTTATAAGAACGTGATGAAAATATAGCTTTTGATAGATCTTTTAAAAATTCTGTTGGTACTTCAAGTAACATCTATATAATTTATAAAATTATTATAATGCTTTTTTTATAAAGTTTGAACTTATGTCATGGTGTACTAACCGAATTACATATATACTCATTCCCAAGAAGAGGTTTCATTACAATGTTGATAAATGAATTTGTATAAATTTGATCAATATAATTATTATTGTTATTAGTAATGCTGGTCACATTAGTGCTGTTATTCGTGTCGGCCTTTCTTAGCCGTAAAACCATGCTCCTCTTTATTTAAGCATAATAAAGAAATAAGACTTTAAATGAAAAGGTTGTTAAATAAATAAATAAATAAACACAAAAAAATATCAATATTATTTTATTTATTCATAATAAATACAAATTTATCATTTTTGCCAACAAAAGATAATATAATGTTAGCGTTGCCTTCTGATTTTACTTTCCAATTTGATATGTCATAAAGTTCAGGAAAAGTTTCAACGCGTAATGATGGCATTTTTATATAAATAACTTCTAATTCCAAAAAAACAAAAAGATGCCTAGTTGGCTCTGAATACGATGGATGATCCAGTATGTATTTAGTAGCACTAGTGGTAACAGCAAGTTATTCTAATTTGCATTAACCATTGCCTCCTTCTTTCACTACTCAAACAATAATCAATATTAATATTAATAATAGAGAAAAACAATCAACTACTAGTAACACTATTACAATCACAATCATTAACATTAAAATTAAAACGACAGCAATGAAAACACTATCATTCTATAATAGACTTCACTTACACGATTCTATAGGATCGTTAGCCTGCTTTAGATCTATATTCGAATTATCCGTAATTAATCAAGTATTCGAATTACATTAATATTAAACAATTATTTGAACAAATAACAAATAACAAATAACAGATAATTTGAATAAAATCAGCAGTTGATTACTTTGTTGATATTATGAAGAGATTGAAGTTGGATGATATTTACAACTTTCTGAGCCAAGCCAACAATTGGAATTTCCAATATTAATATTATCCAGTTTTTATGATCTAAAAAATCCAAGCTTAAATCCAAGCTCACTAGAAACACGAATCTTCCTTATCAGTTTATAAAATCAATATGAGTAAGAAACGAATAAAACGAATGATTCGAATAAAAAATTATATTACAGATAGAAACCCTGATCTGCTTCGCTTGGTATTTCTCCATGGCAAAAGTAAAGAATGATTTTACAAGTAGTAAAGGCCCTGAAAGATAAATTAAATGTTTCATATTTCAATTAAACGCTCAGATTTCGTGAAGTTGTGGTCATACGGGCTTCAAGTTCAAATTCAAATAAGGAAAAATGAGAGAACTTGAACAACCAATAGATGTTGTACTGAATATAAAATGCAAAGTGGTTTCATGTCTTTTGGTGTGCTGGAAAGTGACAATATTCGTTTTTCATTATGTATGAGAAGCAAAAAAACAAATTTTTTTTATTGATTGTTTGATTTGTCGACACGTTCGATAGATTTAAATTTTATTGGTTCACCACTATAATTTTAAAAAAGAATCATAATTATAAAAAACAACTCTTGCCCGGATTCAAGATCTTGTATTGCGTAAATTCCTATCCTGGGTTCATCATTATAAAAACAAATGATAAATGATCTTCTTGATAAATCGCATCTATTACTGATTCTATTGTAATTTATACATACTATTGTTTTATTGTTAATTGTATACACATAATAATAGTAGTTCTCTTAACCTTTATTAAAACTAGTTCCTCTCTTATCATGGATTCTTTCCATGTTAGTTTCTTTCGCCTATGGAAGATTTACAAATAAAAAAATTGATTCATCCCTAATTAATTGTTTGACTTTTTGATTGTTTATATAAGCTAAAATCAAAACACGTGATTCCATCTTTTTGGGCATTCTCCATAAAGTCCTCATTTGATATACCTACCAAAGTACGTTATTAAAATAAAATCGATTATAAATATCTAAATATATTATATCACAAATATTTATTATTAATGTATTAATTATTATACATATAGATAAAAAATTACCTTAAAACGTCTTTTCAAAATAAGCATTTTCAGATACATTTTTTAACAAACTCATTATATGCAACGATCCGGGTCACACTCTCTTCCACTATTAAAACAATGACAATTAGTATCCAAAATAAATCATACTAGCTCAGTTAGTGCTATGACAATCACATCTAGAAAGTCATAAATTACTTATTTTCTCAAAATATATAAATACACGAATTTAAACAATTCTACAATCTGGGATCACAGAAACAGCATGAAACATTTGCTTTAAAACAAAGACATGACTTATCACAAGATTCGCCAGGGTGATTACAGGTGGTATATTCATTCTGTTTTATTATTATCTTAAGTTTTTTTTTTATAATTAAACTAATAAATTATAAAATTATAAAAATAATCAATAAAACAAATATCAAGTACAATACCTATTTTTACTCCTACTGCTTTCTTTTTTTGTATCTTTTGGTTTGTTTTTTTTTTCACTGAACTTTTAATAAAGGATGATTTTTGCAATTGTATTTATAACAACAGCAACAAAGTAATTATATATATGCATCAGGCACCTCGTTGTCAATAATTTCAACTGATAAACTATTTTATTATTATTATTATTATAATAAAAGTATACATATATAATATATATAATTAACAGGGTGTCACCTATCAACTTCCATGATAATTATATTCTTTATATTAGAAAAGTAAAGTAAAAACAAAATAAATATTAATTGATTTACTACTTATTTAATAGTGATTGAGCATCTTTTGTTTCATGAAGTTTAGAAGAATCTTTCCATAAGCTCACTTTATTTCTTTGCTACTATTGGTGCTACTTTTGCATAATTTTCAATCATATTGAGCATTTTAAAAATACTTTTTTTTATTATATTAATTAACCAACCATTAAATCTTACAAATTCATCTCTAATTTTTTGGAATTATTTTTTTTAGACATGATCGATAGTAGTGATCTGCAGATATGAAATTATTTTATTATTGATTTAATTGGCTTCAAAGAAGAATGAAATGCAGTAGGATATTGTTGAACAAAATTTTAATCTGCTGCATGTTAGTATTGGTTAAGGCATTTGGGTGGCTGTATATTAATTGGTGTTACTATTACTTACCATATAGACAGGTGGTGTTACCAATGTATTTTATTAATCAATTTCTTATATAAATAACATCCAAATGCAAAAAAATGTTTTTTTCAAGGTTCTTTTAGCTTACTTTCCCTAACTTAAGTGAGCACAACCAACCCATTTACAAAAAAAAAAATTTTTTACTTCAAAAAATTACTTTTGTTTTTTACAAAAAAAATTTCAACATCCTCTTCTTCTATTCTTCTTAACCCTATATTATTCAAACTTTTTTAATTTTTTTAATAAAAAAAAACATCTTTCAACATGCGTGAATGTATCTCTATCCACGTTGGTCAAGCTGGTGTTCAAATCGGCAATGCTTGTTGGGAACTCTATTGCCTTGAGCACGGTATTCAAGTATGTAAACAATAATAAAAAGAAAAAGATTATTGTTATTATTATTATTATTATTGAGATATTGTGCTACATGAGCTATTTTTTTTAAAATATAATTAATAAATAAATTAATCTTTTAACTTCTCTACTTTCTAATATATATATATATATATATATAGCCTGATGGTCAAATGCCATCTGATAAATCTGTTGGAGTCAGTGATGATTCCTTCAATACTTTTTTCTCTGAAACTGGCTCTGGCAAACATGTTCCTCGTACCGTTTTTGTTGATTTGGAACCATCTGTCGTAGATGAAGTTCGTACTGGTACCTACCGTCAATTATTTCACCCTGAACAATTAATCACTGGAAAGGAAGATGCTGCAAATAATTATGCTCGTGGTCATTATACCATCGGAAAAGAACTTGTTGATGTTGTTCTTGATCGTATTCGTAAACTTGCTGACAACTGTACTGGTCTTCAAGGTTTCTTGGTCTTCCATTCATTTGGTGGCGGTACTGGTTCTGGTTTTGGTGCATTGCTTTTGGAACGTCTCTCTGTTGATTATGGCAAAAAATCAAAATTGGAATTTTCTGTTTACCCAGCTCCTCAAGTATCAACTGCTGTTGTCGAACCCTACAATTCAATTTTGACCACTCATACTACATTAGAACATTCTGACTGTGCTTTCATGGTTGACAATGAAGCTATCTATGACATTTGTCGTCGTAATCTTGACATTGAACGTCCTACTTACACCAATCTTAACAGATTAATTGCACAAGTTGTTTCATCCATCACCGCTTCTCTACGATTTGATGGTTCCCTTAATGTCGATTTAACCGAATTCCAGACCAATTTGGTACCTTATCCTCGTATCCATTTTCCATTAGTCACCTATGCACCTGTCATCTCTGCTGAAAAAGCATATCACGAACAACTCACTGTTGCTGAAATCACTTATTCTTGTTTTGAACCAAACAATCAAATGGTTAAATGTGATCCTCGTCATGGAAAATACATGGCTTGTTGTCTATTATATCGTGGTGATGTAGTACCTAAAGATGTCAACGCAGCTATCGCCACCATTAAAACCAAACGTACCATTCAATTTGTTGATTGGTGTCCAACTGGATTCAAAGTTGGTATTAATTATCAACCTCCAACTGTTGTTCCTGGTGGTGATCTTGCTAAAGTACAACGTGCTGTTTGTATGTTGTCCAACACAACCGCAATTGCTGAAGCATGGGCTCGTCTTGATCACAAATTTGATTTAATGTATGCAAAACGTGCTTTTGTCCATTGGTATGTTGGTGAAGGTATGGAAGAAGGTGAGTTTTCTGAAGCACGTGAAGATTTGGCTGCTTTGGAAAAGGATTACGAGGAAGTTGGTACTGATTCACTTGAAGGAGGAGAAGAGGAGGAGGCTGAAGAATATTAAGTTCAAAAAAAAATTACAGAGATAAAGATCTTTTTATAAGATAATTTATTATATTATATTATAAGAAAATTTATTATTTTAAATACAAAAAATTAACATATATAGTTTTCATTATTAAATTTAAAATTAAAACTTTGTAATTTGGTTTTTTTTATGCTCGGAAAAAGCTGATGGAGTAGATTATGTTTTTTGTTGGCTTCGATGATATATTTAAAATATTATCTTTATATTTTTATTTTTTTTTGTTATATCATCAAGCCAACAAAAACATAATATATTTACTATTATATATTTTAATTATTATATATATATATTTTTTAATCCTCGCATCTCTCACTCTCTCACCAATTGGTGTTTAGAGGTAGAAAGAGGAAATCAAAAAAAAGTGTTGCTTTTTTTTAATTATATATAGAGTTTACTCCACTTTTTTTTTCGTTTTTTATTTTATGTCCTCTTCTCTATCTAAATAATAATAAGGTTCTCATAAATTTTTTTATGAAACCTAAAAAATAAAAAAACTTAAAAAATCCAATCAGAAAAATTGAAAATCGTGTGATCTCCTTCACCCATCAGACTTTACCATTCATTAATCTTGGAATATTTTCTTTAAATTCTAATACAGTCAGCCCCCCTTTGGAAACATATCACTATCACTCATGAGGGGGGAAGATTTTATAAGTTCATTATAAACTTGGGAATGAGAAGAGCGCGCATTTAAAGAGGGTGCGCATACAGGGGTTGGCTGTACTTCTTGTTAATTTCTGTTAATTGCGATTTGTCTGATTGTTGTTCTAATTTTTGTTTGCCAACAAGGCATCTATCTTTATTATGTGATACAGGTGGGGGAGGGATCACTTCAGTTATATCATTATTATTATCACCATTAGGAAAAATGTTGAAACAATTTCTTATTATTATTGATTTATTCCTATTTCATCAATACAATAATAATTTTTAACCAAATATGAAAATTATTGCATGTTCGCGCCATTTATTATTATATATATTTGGTCTGATTTTTAGTATTTAATTAAAAAACGGTGGTTTTTTTGTTTTGTTTGCATTTTTAAGAGAAGCATTGTCTTTTATTATTATACTAATATTAAAACATTTTTTACAGCGAAGCCTTGTTTATGTAAAAAAAGAATTTGTCTTACACATTTAATATTTTATAATAATGCAAATAATTAATATTATAGTCATGAAATACCTTTAAAGGCTTCTCTGATAATACGAATGTTTATAAAGAATTGTTGCCAACCCGTTTCCATCCTTCCTGCTTACAAGTATTCAACAGTAATATAAATTAATATTATTCTTTATTTGTACTGGTCAGCCGCAAATCAAATTCTTAGTTATTATATCCTTCCGTCCTTGAAAAGAATCTGTTATTCGATAAGTTGGGGAAAATCAAATCGTGTGAATTTATAAAGAACAAATTTTGTGTATTATTAATTTTATACATGCCAATTTATATAGTATTCGTCAAAAGGACGTCTTAATTACCACAAATACATGTAGCATAAGCACCATCTTCAGAAACTTTTTGAAAAAATTCATGGTTTAAAAGATGCTGTTTAATATATTTTACAATTGTGCCGCTTAAAAATTTGCACCAATTTTCAACCAAGATTTTTCGGTCACAACATTATTTATTAACTTGGAACAAGTTTTGATAAAATACTAAATATGGTTAAAACGTCCCAAAATGGACCAGTATGGCAACCCTGCTCTCGAGTTACAAACACTAATACTAACACTAACTAGTCTACAGTATGTCCTATATATATTCAAGATTTAAAACCCGCGTCGTTGCACTTAGTATAATCATGAATTTAAAATTAGATTTTTTTTTCCAAATCTGGAAAATTAGTATATATAAGTTTGAGTTGTGTGTTGCAATAATATTTTGCATACAACACACATTGATAATCAATTTCCATTTAAAAAAAAGGAAATTGTTTGTAATGCGAAACTATACATACATTAGATATAGCTTGCTTGCTAGTCTTTTTTTTTCTTTAACTTTTTATAGTTAAATCCAATTAAAAATGACTATTAAAAATATCTTCTTATTTTTAATATTGCTCAAATGCTTATTTTTAGTGGTAAGCTCAACTCCAACTGACCCAAGATATGTACACGCTACTGTTGTGGTCAACAATAATTTATATGTTATGGGTGGTTTCTCTAATGGTCAATCATCAAGAGAATTTTTTTCTCTTGATTTGTCACAAGCATTTGATGCAACAACTCCACAATGGAAGGATTTAACTACAACTTCACCATTGCCAGTATTAATATCATGGGCTACAGCTAGTTCCAACACTAATAATGATACAATATTTTTGTTTGGTGGTTCTATGGTTGATACTGCAACTGGTGTTTATAATTTTAAAAGTGTAATTTACACTTTTGATTTTAAAAGCAATCAATGGTTAGCAAACCCACCTGCTTTTCAAGGAGTTCCACCTGAAAGACGTAGAGAATTTTCAAGTGTTAGTGATCCGTTGACTGGCAAATTATATATTCATGGTGGAGCAAATGATATGAAAGTTACCACTATTGTTATATTTAAAGATTTCTTTACTCTGGATGGAAATACTTTATCCTGGAAATCAATTGGAAAAACTGGTCTAAATATGCCACCTCCTAGAATTGACCATGCTTCTGTATTGATTGATAATGGAATAATTGTCTTTATTGGTGGAAGAGAATCTCTTTCTGGTACTACTGATACTATAGCTGCAGTTCCCATGAATAAGGTAATAAATAATAACTATAATAATTAATAAAAAATGTGTAGTTATTAATTTAATATTAACCTATTATTTATTTAAAAAAAGCTTACATTATATGATACTAATGCTGATACTTGGGATTTAATGGTAATTATTAATTTAACAGGAGAAATTTATTTCAATTGGAAAATATATTAATCCATTTTTTTTGTGTTGATCAGACTATAGTTGGTGGTCCAGCCGTTGATCCCCGTACTGGTCATACAGCTGTATATGGTAAATAATAATAATAAATTGATGGTTTCGTCTATGAATCCAGTGAATTTGCTGCGGAAACACTAATATTTACATTCCCCCGAAGAATTTTTTTTCAAATACAACAGAGAAAAAAATAACCTTTGAGTTTTTTTCTATCTGTACACACAAAAAAAAAATTATCTAGTAGAAAAAAAGTATAATACAACTTTTCACGTAAAGGTGGTTGTTTGATTGGTCATTTTTGTGCCAATTTTCCTCCGCCGGTTACTATGAAATATGCTGGTCATGATTATTTCACTGATTCATAGGCGAATTATCAACTAAATATTAGTTTGTTTCTTATCATCATTTAAATCATTAAAAAAAAACTTTTTTTTCATTTTATATATTTATCTTAGCTAATGGTAAAGTAATAGTCTATGGAGGATCTACACCTGCGCAAGATACAACACCTACTCCTGAATTAGTTGTATTAGACACAACTACAAAACCTTTTAAATGGATCACACCTCCAGCAACAACACCAGAAGTTCCTATCAATTCAGTTACATGTCATAAAGCAAACTTAATCGGAGATTATATGGTGGTAACATTTGGTAAATAAATAAATTAAATAATAAAAATAATGATGATGATAATATGTGTATGTATATTAAATCATTTATGTACCTTAGGTAATATAACAAATAAAGCTGGGCCACCTGTCGCAACAAGCAATTCAATTCAAATACTTAATATAGTTAATTACAAATGGGTAAAATCATTTCCTGGTATATCTCCTAACAGTAAAACATCACCAACAGCTTCACCAAATGCTCCACCATCAGCATCACCAGCAGCACCATCAACATCATCAACATCATCATCATCATCATCATCATCATCAACAACATCAGACTCAACACTTGGTCCTACAGCAGTTCTAGCAATTGTGGTTTCAATTGGTCTTATTTTGATTATTGCTGCATCAATTGGTGTTTTCATTTTATATCGTAAAAGTAGACAAAAAAAAGATGCACACGCATCTTTATCTTTTAGTAATGCCTCATCATCAGCTCGTAGCACACAAATGACTTCTTTTTCTTCTCCTCCTCCTCCTCCTCCTCCTTCTTATTCTCAAATTAATAATAATAATCATTTGATGAACAGTAACAACTACAACAACAAACATTTATCTTCAATGCCTGCATCACCAACTTTACCAATGATTACTACACCACCTTTAACAACTCCAACAACAACAGCTACAAATTCAATGTATGATAATTTCCAATACAATAGTGGTGGTAATAACAGCAATAATAATTTTGGTAATTTCGGTACTACGCCACAAACATATAATCCATCCACATATTACAATAGCCCTAATTTGGCTCAACAACAACAACAACAACAACAACAATTAGAATTGCAGCGACAACTCCAATTACAACAGTTACAATTATTACAACAGCAGCCACAATTTCAAACATTACAACAACAATTACTACAGCAACAATTATTACAACAACAATTAATGTTGGGAGGTTATACTAATCAATCACTTCCTCCACTTTCTCCCACCTCTACTTTTAATGGTAATGATCGTTTTAGTGATAATAATTCAGTTTCACGATTTTCTAATACTATGGAACCAAGTTTACAATCAGGATTAGGAATAACTTCTTCGTCACCTACTTTACGCTCTCATATGCCTACAGCACATCAAGATGTCAATGATAACAATGATAATGATGATAATGATGATAATGATGAGAATGAGAATGATGAGAATGATGACGATGATGACAATGATGACAATGATGGCGATGATGACAATGATGACAATGATGACGATGATGACAATGATGACAATGATGATAATGATGACAGTGATGATGGCGGTAATAAGAGTCCACCTCCATTATCACGAGGCTCAGTAATAAAATACCCATTAGTAACAAATTCATCCATACAACAATCCATGCAATATGATGGTCCTCCTCAAAATTAATAACAATAATAAATAATAAACATTATGATTCAATAAACATAATTTATTTTAAAAATTTTTTAATTAATAATAATAATAACTTATATGATTGTTAAATTCTTTTTTAGAATTATTCTTACTATTTTTATTGTCGATTAGTTGAATTATATATATTTGATTAAAGTATAATATATAATAAATATAAAGGTTGATTTTGCTGATAGAAGAAATAAAATATCTTGAATCTTTATTTTATAAATGAAAACTTTTTTAAGTTGGATTGTATCATGATTCAATATTGGTTAAATTGGAGAAATCATCATCTAAAATCCAAACTAGTTAAACCATAAAAAACATATAATATTCATCATTTGCTTTAATAATATTATTACAAGGTATTGAATTTTTATCGGAAAAAGAAATCGGGCGGAAAAGTTGAATGGAAATATATTACTATTGTCGAATTAACAAAGTATTA